AACTTTATTTATTTATTTATTTTAATTTGACAAGAGAGGGACACAGAGAGAGAAAGTGAGAATGCAAGCCACCAGGTCTGGGTCTCAAACCACGATCGGCCATGTGGGAGTCCAGCACCCTTAACCACCATGTCATCTGCTGGTCCCCCATACACTCATATTAAGAAAAAGAGTATGTGAATTTGAAGACACCTGTATAGAATGTTGGCATTATCCTTCCTAGGACATCAAATTCTACTTGAAACAAAATCGTACAGGAGACATACCCTCATATGCCTGCGGGCCTTCTGTCCAGGGAGGGATTTTGTGTGTGGAGGGGGCCCTTCCTGCAGAAGGGGGCGTTTCAGCCAGGTCTTAAGAATGGAATTACTGGAGGCGGCGGAGCAGGCATTCCGGGAGACAGAGAGCAGCACTGTGTGTTCAAGGATAGTGGTTCTCGGAGTGTGGGCCCAGGGCTGTCAACGGTGTCATCCGGGACCTTGTTCAAAGTGCAGCTCTTGGGACTCAGCTGCAATAGCATGTGTTGGGGTGGGGCGGGGGTGCCGCTCAGCAGGTGGAGGCCATGCGGGGGGCAAGGGCTGATTCCCAGCCCACCCCAAGTCCAGGTGTGGAGGGGTGCCCCTGTGGTCCCAGCTATTTGGGAGTTGGGAGGCTGAGGTATGACTGCGACATAGCAAGACCCTGTCTGAAAAACACCACACACACACACACACACACGCACATACACGTTCTTGACCTGCGGGATCAGGGCCCACATCCTGCTCTGAGAAAACAATTCCACTGTGTGTGCTCTGGCTGCCGGCACGATCGTGGGGACCACCCTCCCCGTCCTTTCCTGGCCCCCGAGAACTTCCTCAAGCCAAGCTGCGGGGAAGAGGAAGAAAACAGCGGGGCTGGTCTGGCCTGGTGGCTGAGCGGGCGGGTCCACATAGCTGACTGCGAGGCTCTGGTCATCCCTGGTGGCCTGCAAACCATGTCGGGCATGTGTGTGTGTGCCCCAAATCCTGACAGGATGGGGAGACGGAGAAGAGGTACGAGGAGACCGTGGCGTGACTTCACCCCATTGTGGGGTGCTTTCTCCCTCTCCATTTCTCTCTCTCTGGTGAGTACGTGTGCTCTTTAGTAAAAAAAAAAAAAGAAAAGAAAAGAAAAGAAAAAGAAAGAGAAACGTAGTGAGCTCTTTGATAGCAGGTTCTTGTTAAACATGATGGAGCACTGAGTGTAAAATCTCTGAGGGAAAACCCAGACTAACGGATTGTTGGTGCCTGCTATGGAGGGGTCTCAGTACTGACTCCCACCTTCCAAACAGGAAGACGGGACAAGATAGGACAGGTGAGCGCATAAATACCAAAGAAACAGTCGGGTCTGTAATGAATTAAACAAGGAAGTCGATTTCTAGTGCAAGACACTAGCAAGAGTGAACAGAATAAGTAGCATCTCCCCTGCTCTGTTACATGCTCTGTGAGCTGCAGGCAGAGCCGGGACCACAGCCCAACCGGGACCACAGCAGAACCAGGAGTGCACAGACCAGGACCGCAGACCGAAGGCCGTGGCAGGACCTACGGCCCAGCTCCGACGGGCTGTGGCGGGGGTCTGGTCTCCGCTTACTCATCTTCCTCCAGACCAGCTGCCATACTGTTCGCTTCTCTCTGGATAGTTGAAGCAGCTGACCTAGAAAAAGGACCAGGCAGCCTGCTGGCTGAGAAGTCAGCGTGGGATGGGGTGCTGGGCGTTGCCGTGGGGAGTCGGTCGTCATGCTGACACCTTTACTGCGACTCAAACACAGCAGACAGGTGCTTGGCACTGACGCCATCTCCTACTTCACTTACGCCTTCGTCCTTTCCAGCTGCCATCTCAAAATACCATCAATTGGGTGGCTTTGAAATAACAGAGGTTTCTTTCTTTCCTTCTTTCTTTTTTTTCACCTTTTTTGGCTATAGGGTGTGTGTGCTTACTGTAGAGAGAAAGAGAGAGAAAGAGGGGGTGGGGGGAGGAGTGAGAAGTCACTTCCTAGGCAGAATGGCCATGCCACAGACCCTTCTCTTCCATTCTCCTCTTGGGATTTTGGGCACATAGACATAGGCACCTGGTGTGATTTTCAAGCCACCAGAACCGGGACTCGAACTGCACAGCTAGCCATGTGGGACCCAAATGCTTTAACTTCCACACCACCTGGCTGGCCCCAGTTTGTTTCTCACAGTTCTGGAGAATGGGCAGTCAGCTTTGGCGTCTGGTGAGGGCCTGCTTGCTGGTTCATGGCCAGGCCCGCTTGCTCTGTATGTGAGGAGGGTGCTTGCCCTCCCCTGGGCGTCCTTTAAGGGCTCGAGTCCCAGGGTGTTTTTCAAGTTGCTAGGTCTGGGACTTGAACCAGAGTCGGCCATGTGGGATCCAGTGCCACTACACCACCTGCTGGCCTGGACTAGGATTTCAACATAGGCACTGGGGGCATGAGAACACTCAGACTATGCCACCTCTTCACATATTTGGAGTGTGGCCATTTGAATTTCTCCTCTGAAGTAGATGTAGGTATACAGATAGGGAGAAAATGTTTCTAACTTCAGCCAAGTCACCTGCCAAGGCCACTTAATTCCCTGAGTTCCTTCCTATAAACCCAGAATTTTTGTTTTAGTGACCCCCCTATCCTCCAGATCATGGAATTTACACACTTTGGCCAACATCCCTGAATCATCTTTGTTGGCAATAAATTATATTTGACCCAAAACACTTTATGGGGAATGTGCTTTTTTTTTTTGAAAGCAATGAATTATTTTTGCAACGTCTTTGGAAGAGCATGGGGCCAAGTTTCTGAAGGCACAGAATTCTTCCTATGTTAATTTCAAAGCAAGCTCAGAGGTGTTAATTACATTTCAAGAGTACGTCTTTAGGGAACCAGCAGTTAGCGTAATGGCTATGTCGCTGGACTCCCACGTAGTCGATTGCTGTTCGTGTCCCAGACCTGGTGGCTTAAAACTCACGCCGGGTACGTGTGCGTGCGTGCCCAAGATCCCGAGAGGAGAACGGAAGAGAAGGGATTGTGGCTTGGTCATCCCCCCTGGGGGGTGATTTCTCGCTTTCTGTCTCTCTGTCTGTCTGGCAAGCGCATGCGCCCTATAGCAAAAACCTCTCCAAAAAAAAAGAGTATGTCTTTAAAAATCACTTGCATTATCAAAGAAGGATTAGAGGATGAAAAATCAGCAGGATTCAGGTCAATTTAGATAGAGAATAATTACATCAAAAGACTTCTCAAGTGTGTGGCTTCAATAAATAATACTCTCTTACCGTAGTCCTGGTGGTCCCTGCTTTTCCCAGGGCTTCCATATATTCTGCTGATAACCCCATTCATAGTAATATCTTATTTCTTAGAGCTTAGAATGTCACATTCATGACATTCCAAAAATATTCTTGGGCTTTCTGGGCTGGAAGATGATAAGGTCACCTCACATTCATAATAGCGCTTTGCAAGGTTTTTCTACTCTTGTGTTCAGAATGATCCAAGCCGTTTGTTTTGAAGCAAAGCGTTAACAGCTAAGATGCTTTTTTTTTTTTTTTAGGGTGGGACACAATTATCACCCGACCTCTGGTACAGCCTTCCTAAAACCAGCCAGGTAGTGGGCCAGCCCTAGACCTAGGGCACACAGGAGCTGGGTCCCACGTGGCCTGCTGCCAGGCTGGAATCCTGGCCTGGGTGGCTGAAAAAACATGCTAGGAGCCATGCGTGTGCCTGGGAATCCAACAGGACAGAAAAATGGAGACGGGATTGTTTCGTGACCACCTCCATTGAGGGACTCTTTCTCCCTGTTTTCCTCTGGGAGCATAAAAACTCTCCAGCAAATTTAACCCAAACAAAACAGCCAGGCAGTCAAATGAGGGTGGAGCAATGGTGGGTGAAGTGAGAAGCAGCAGGGGATGGGGGGGGGGCTCATAATTTTAATTTTGTGATCTGGAACACATTTCAAAATGACAATCCGGGGCTCCCACTGTGGGGACGTCACTTCTCTGCTATGAAAGCTTTCTGTTCCTCTTCAGTTTGTTTGCGAACTCAGAGCTGCCAAGAGTCCTGAGACGTCTGGGATTCCTCTGCGGCAAGTGCGGCCACTTGGTTCCTGAAGTCAGAGACCGCAAGGCCGCGGTGCTGGGAAACCTCTCCAAGTGGAGGGGCAATACCACGTGTCCTGACCGCCCCAGGGCCCTGCCGTTCCAAACTCATCATGAGCCAGCACACAAGACTCTTTAAAAACTTTAAGGAAAACGCGTATTATGAAGAAAACGAAAAAACAGGCATAAATTTCAAAGTGTTTTGCACCAAAATAAGCTCGTATGTTAATTTTCCCAGAACTTTGTGAAGTCCCCCGGTATGAACTACCCAGCACGCTGTCTCCCTCCTGCGCCTTCGGGAGGGGTGGGAACGTTTCTGGACACTTCACGCACCAGCTCGCCGGTCCACGCGGGCTGCCGCCTTTGCTTCCGCGCTGACCGTGCCCACGCGGCCGCAGCTCACGGCTAGGACCCCGGCCCCGCGGCCCCGCAGCTGAGAAAAAGCAAAGGAGGGCACTCAGGGCACGAGCAAAGCGGCGGCGCTGGTACCCGAACGCCGGGGCTTCCCTAGGCAGCTCCTAGGGAGAAAACTTTCCTTTGTTAAGCTGTGACCACGTGGCGCTATGGCAGTCACCGCCGGGAATAAACCATGGAAACCCTCACATTTAGGGTCGCGCCACCCACCTCCTGAGCCGGCAAAAAGGAGCCC